CTGTTAAAAACAGTTAATTAACCCAAGTCTTGGTGCTCAATTGATCACAGAATCATTTAACCAAATCAATTCAATCTTACCAACTAACATTTTTCTGCGCTTGAAGTGCCGTCGCGAATCCAGGACAAACCCACGAGCAGGGTTCATCGCGACGAACCCACGAGCAAGGTTCATCGCGACGAACCCAAACTCCTAGGTTCGCCTAAAGGTAAGAAAAAAAAGAAATAAAAAAGAAATAAAAGGCTGAAGGAAGGAGAGGATAGGGGAAGAAAATGAGGGTATATTGGTAATTAAAAATAAAAATTTTGGTCATGTCATCAAGTTTTGCCAAATAGATTTCACACGTAATTTAAGTAAAAAAAAAATTTTTTTTTCCGTTAATTAACATGCCACGTAAGCCAAAATTTAACGGAGGGACTAAAAAGGGACCGGATTTATGAACAGTAAGGATCAAAAATGAGATTTTTTCGGTATAGAAACTAAAAATGGGCTTTTTCCTATAGTAGAGGGACCAAAAAGGGTATTTAACCATTAAATTATAACATTCACAACTAATGTAATTTGATTTATTAAAAAAATCCAATTTCTTCTCTATTTTTTTAAACTAAACATAACATTAAGATTCACTTACTTTATTTAAAAAAAATTAAAATCAAAATCAAAATTAAAAAATAACAACATTTTAAGTGTCTAATATTTCAAGTGAAAATGTAAATAGATTAAATAATTTAATAATAATTTCACATTTAAGTAGAATAAGAGATTGTAAATTTAAGTTGTAAGTATTTGAATATGGTGACTAAAAATATAAAAAAAAATTATATTTTATTGTGTAACTTGAAAATTACAAGATATATATATGTCCTAAAAGTAAAAAATTGTTGATTTAGTTGTAACTTTATAAGCATAAGGGAGAGGTAAGAAAGGTGATTAGGAGAGTTTTCCTTTCATTGATTGAATAACTCAATTTTTTTCCTTTTGGAAAAAATTAAAACAAAAATCTTTTTACTTTAAAATTCCTCAAATCAAAACCCTTGTATTTTAAATTCATTAACCTTACGTATATATGAGAAAAGTTCTCAATTTTTCTTGGTAAAAGATTTTGGAGAAAGAAAAATGTTGTTAAGTAAAAGATGGTCGTGGATTACACAAGTGCCGCAGTAGATTGAGAGTTGAGATCATCAAACAAGGAGGAAGCAAGTTTGTAATTAACCTTTGTGAGTCGTGACTTGAAATCACGGGAATGTTAAAGTGCGTTTAAGTTTTTCGAAGTTGCCAGGATAAGGTTCCGAAACCAGTCATAAAAGTTTTGGGACCTAAAAGCATATCACGCAATTTAAGCTTGGAAAGTTTCAGAACTATTAACAAAGTACTCTAACTTATTGATTTTTAATACAAACAATAAAAGAGACAATGAGTAAAAATGTTTCGGAATATTTCAGAAGGTTTCGGAACCTGGAACCAGAATCCATTATTGATGCAGTGTGCTTTTGAACTCTTTTTTTTTTAAGTTATCAAATTGAAAAAA